TGAACCTCACAATCAGCCTTTGAGAGAGATACCACACAGATTATTATTCCAACTGTACAGAATCAGAAACTGATGTTGGGAAAGGATAAATAATTTGCCCATGGTCACACAACTAATAAGTATCAGAGGTGGGATCAGAGTCCAAGCTTTTCCCATCTCTGAGTCCAATAATCTACCTGCGACATTGCAGTGTTTCTCATTCTGCTATAGAAGTTTAACATTTAATAGGGTATGTTAAATATTTTATTCATAGAACATTATTCAGAATACTTCTTCAGACACCATTTTTTTCAGTTGGTGTACAAAGCTTCTTTATGGCTTCCATTGCCATGAAAGCAATCTTCAAATGTTTGAGGGGTTATCACAGAAGAAAAATCAGATTTTTTCCATCTGGCCCTGAAGGCAGAACTAGGAGAATGGTTAGAAGTTTCAGAGAGATAAATTTAAGCTCAAGGAAAAATTTTCCCGACAATTGTTTCTGTTCAGTTATGTTTGACTCTTCATGACCCCATATGGGGTTTCCTCAGCAAAGATGCTGGAGTGGTTTGCCATTTTCTTCTCCTGTTCATTTTACAGATGAGGGGACTGAGGCATACAGGGTGAAATGATTTGCCTAGGGTCTCCCAGCTATCCTATATTTGAACTCAGGAAGAGAGTCTTCCTGATTCCAGGCCTGGCACTCTAGCAATTGTATGGCCTAGCTACCCAATAAGATTCTCCAAAAGTGGAACAGGCTGGCTTGGGATGTAATGGCATCTCCCCTCACTAAAGGTCTTCAGGCAGAGACTGGATGTTGCCAGTGACAACGAGGAATTCTCGGTCAGGTTAGAGTCAATGGCTACTGATTTCCCTTCCAACTCTGAAATTCAATGTTTTTATAATTCTGTGAATTTTATAAACGAAAAGAACTTAGGAAGCAGACTGATCCAGTTTCCTAAACTGTCATATGCAAAAGGAGAAAGTAGCTTGCCCATTATCACGCTGGCAGTTGGTGTTGGTACCCCAGACCAGAACCCAGACCCCCTGACTTCTCAAAATTATGTACCCTCCACTGGGCCATGTAGCCCCCTTTCGTTTGCTCCACTCCCTCCCCTGAAGAGTGATAACACCCCTCATGCTGTGGGGCCTTTGTACACAGTCATTAACATCAATGATTTGCACCCCAAGTGTTCAGATACAAACACAACAGTTCTGGAGAGACCCGGAGAACAAAGTAGCACCCAAACATCTATCACAGAGGGCTTGGAGGCCTAGGAAGTTTATTTGTTCCATAAACAAACTATTGGTTTTGAGAACAGAGCAATCCTAGCCAGCCATAAGCTAGGATGTACTAGATGTTCAGCCATCGGCTATTAGTTACTAGGGTTTTGCCTTTTTTAATAATTAATTTATTTATTTTTGGTTTTCAACATTCACTTCCATAAGATTTGGAGTTTTAAATTTTCTTCCCCTTCATCTCCCTCTCCTCTCCCCTCCCCAAGACAGCGGCATGCATTTTGATATAGGCTTTACTTATACATTCATATTAAGCATATTTTCCAATTAGTCATGATGTAAAGAAGAATTAGAACTAATAGGAGGAATAGGGTTTTGTCTTAGAATAGACACACGTCAGCACTAGGAGGTCACTTTAGGAGGTCAGTGGAAAGCAGCTTTGAGGAGAGCCCTGGACTTGAAGTCAGGAAACAGCTGGGTTTAAAGCTCACCTTTAACGTCAACCAGCTGTGTGACCAAAGGCAAATCCATTAACCCCTCTGAGATTCTGTTTCCCCACTCATAAGATGGGGATAATAATCAGAACTGACATCTCTATAACATTTTAAGGTTTGTAAAGCATTTTACACATATTATCTCATTAGATCCTCATAACCACCCTGGGAGATGGGTGCCATTTTTATTCCCATTTTACAGATAAGGAAACTGAGGTAGTGATAAGTTAAATGGCTTGTCCAAAGTCACACACCTGCTTGGTCAGAGTGGAACTCAGGTCTTCCTGACTCCAAGTCCAACACTTTATCTCTTGTGTCAGCTAGCTGCCTTTAATACCTATCTAATGTAAGATAATACATTTACACAGTACTTCTCAAATATGGTTTAAAAGACAGTTGTTGTTACCATCAAGTCCAGCTCCCTAATTTTACAGATGAGGAAACTGAGGCCAGCAAAGCTGTCACGTTCCCAGAGTCATATCGGCAGAGTCAGGATTCGAACACAGGTGCTCCGACTGTGAATTCAGTACTTTTTGTAGACTCTGTCCATTGTTGTTGTTGTCCTTGAGTGGTTTTGGTCACGTCCAACCTTCTGTGACCCCATTTGGGGTTTTCTTGGCAAAGATACTGGAGTGGTTTGCCATTTTCTTCTCCAGCTCATTTTACAGATGACAAACTACATGAAGGCAAATACATGTTTCCATTCAGTCAAGAAAAAAGAAGGGAAAGGAAAAGCCAGAGAGGGGAAAGGAGGAAGAGAGGAGAGCATGGAATTCACAAAACTGAAAGAAACTAGGAGTCACCACAGAACTCTTAGAAAATCAAGACCATCTTCCCTTCAGTGGGCCACTTTGCCCAAAGACCTGCAGTCTCCTTTACAGTTACCACTGGGAAGGTCTCCCAGCTGGCATCAGTTGGCATCAACTGGCATCAGTCTCCTCATACTATTCTGCACAACTTCCAATGTTAGGTGAGATATGTGAGTGCATGTATACACATCCTATATATACATGCATATGTTACATACATTTATATTGCATTGTATAATGTATAGGTATATAAAATATTTATACATACCTATATACATGTATATGCATGCATTTTTTGGTTTTGGTTTTGACTGGACCTATGATATCATGAGTCTAGGGAATTCCCAGCAAGGGAATCTTCTTTACCACTGCAGATCAGGAGCTATTCCACAACTTGTTTGCAAACACATTTATATAAATGTAACCTGCCTTCTACCATGCCCAAAGAGGCATATTCAACCAAAACTTGGAGGGGAGAAAAAGGGCCTACCTGCTGGCCAGCATTTCCCCAGTACCAGTGGTCTGTTCCTGACCTTGAACTAGAACTGACTTCTGGGAGAGGGAAGCAGTAGGAGAAATGGACGTCTGACAGCTATGGAGCCATATGGTGGGGCAATAGCCTTCAGAACTGAAAGGTGGCCATTTGAGTGTTGCATAGAATGATGATGATAAGCTATGGATGGTCTGGACTTGCACTACTGGCCAAGCATGAGCCAGGAGGATGGGGACAGTGATCTGTGACCAGGGACAGTGAAGGATCTCAACCTGGTTCACACTTGATGCTGCTTTGTGCATTAAATGCCTTACTAAAAGGGACTCTCCTTTTAGGAGGCACCCTAGACATGAGCCATACCTAAGCTCTATTAAAGAGATTTTTCCTGGGACTCCTAAGTCAGGATATAATGAGCCAGAGACAGCAAGAAAACCTTGATCTCTTATTTTAGATGGCAGGTTTCCCCAGGACTAAACCTAGTTTGAGTTTGGGGTGAGATCCCCTCTTCTGAAAAAGCCCTCCCCATCCCCAACCCCAGCTTGTAGGTGACACAAATACATTTGAGGCAACTAGGTGGAGTAATGAATAATGTTGGCAGAGTTAGTAACACCTGAGTTGGAATCCTCCATCAGTTACTAGCTGTGTAACCTGGGGCATGCCAATTAAACTCAGCCTCAGTTTCACCATCCATACGTAAAGTGAGGATAGCAATGGCACCTAATTCACAGGATTTTTATGAGGACCAAATAAGATGATACGTCTTGTGTTCTGCAAACCTTAAAATACTATATAGATATAAGCTATTATTATCATATACCCAAAAGAATATAAATATATATTATATAATATAATAATTATATTATTATATTATATTAATGTATTATAGTATAATAACTTGTATATAAGTGAAATTATATCATATAGATATACATTCACATATGTATATATGCATACACATTTACTCACATATACTTCTTTTTGGACTATACTTATGATTCAATCAGTCAATAAATCATTTTTGTATTTCACATTGTGTTATGGCCATGGAACAGACATGAATGGCTCATAATAGTTTAAATAGTTCAAATGTTTATATATATATGGGGGGTGTATGTTATGTGTATATGTATATGTATGTATGTGTATATGTATGTATACACACACACACACATATATATACATATACATATATACATAGATACATATATATGTATATATATACTAAAGAAATCCATTATGTATATATGGACCTCACAATGAGGAAACTGTCCAGTAATGCAGATCTGTCCCTTCTCTGAAACTTATAGTGTTAGAAATCTGCCCAGGACACTGAGTAGTTAAGTGACTTTCCCAAGGTCACATAGCCACACTGTTTCAGACGCAGGACAAGAACCCAGGTGTTCATGATTCTGACTCACTCTGCACACCATGTGTGCCTCAATATCTACATAAGCACATGAACACATATGTGTGTACATACACATACCCAACTTTTGCAGGCAACCTCATGGCTCCTCAGATAACTGAACTGCCTGACTCCCGCCCCCAACTCGAGAGCTGTATAGTGAGACCTGACCCAGCAAAACACACAGCTCCCCACACCAGACCTAGCTTATCCCTGAAGGCTCAGTTACCAAAGGGGGGAAAGCAATAGCTCGAAAGCCCCAAAATCATCTCCCCTTCCATTAGTCAGCAGTTCTAGGGGGGTCCAGTTCCCTAAGGGCTCCCATGTGCCCCTACTCCCGTAATGCATTTCCATGTTGTTGGCACCAAGAAGAATGTTAGACACCAAAAATACTGCTGTCTTGTATGAAGGCTGGTCTCCCAACAAGCCCCTTTAAGGAGTGGTTGGCCCGTGTGAGTTACAATCTTAATTTTAGCTTGGAGACCTGCCATGGTCTGCTTTACCAAAAGGAGTGGATGAAGGTATGTGAGACAGCTGTCCCCCCGGCATGTGGGGTGGAGCTTATTTCACAGTCAGAGAGTACAAATCTGGGAACACTGAATTTACCACTTCCCTCAAGGGTATTCCCCCCCCCCATCCAAAAGGATTTGGGGCTTTTCTCAGGCAAAACGGGAGTGTTACCATGGCTGAAGGACAGACGGACCTGGAAGCCAGAATCATCCAGGACATACACAGTAAAGAGATTGATTTGGTGAACCGAGACCCAAAGCATATTAATGAAGATGTGGTCAAGGTAGGAGTGCGATCCTTTTGCTTTGGCCCTGGAATTGTCCCAGTCCCAGCCCAGGGTGCCCCAGAGTGTCTGTTTTGTTAAGTGGAGGGCCATGTGCAATCTGGGATGGGGAATATTTCATTTCAGGCAGAGATAAGCTCTTGGAAAGCCTCATTATAACTGTGCACCTGTGTCCTGAACTTCCCCTTAACCAACTCCCAAACGCTTAGCATGAAATAATTAGAAGAAAAGTCACTGAAGATGTTCCAGAATATTAAGAGTGAAGCAGGAATGAAAGAGAATCAAGAAAATACACTGGCTTTACTTGGATACAAGCGTTGGGAGATATGCTTGTTTCCAGCCTTGGCAGAATTAAAGTAAAGACATAGAATATTAGAACTCATTTAGCCCCTGCCTATCATTTTGCTGAGAAGGAATCTGAGAGCCAGAGTAGAGGAGTGATTTGCCCCAATTTGAGAATGTCTTCTACATAAGGATGATGGAAGACAGTGAGTGGGAACTTCATGCATGTCCTGGGGAAGCCACAGCCAAAGGACCACAGCCCCTGACCCTATGGCACTCACTCCTCCAGCCCGCCTAGCCATCGCATCTCAAAGACACCTTCTATGTGCCAGGCCACGGGGGTGACATGTCATTCTCAAGTGAACTGTTCCACAGACTGCTCCCCCTGCCACACTCAGAGCAGCTGGCATCTTCAGGGCACAGCCCAGGGCCCCTGAAGGGAAATTTACAGCTCTCAGGATTTTCAAGTGAGGGAAGGGGGAGGCCTATAATAAACCCAGAGAAAACTCCCATAGAATCATAGAATTTAGAGATAGAAAGGACCTTTGAGATCAACCTGGTTCAGCCCTATCATATTATGGATGAGAACCCTGAGACCCAGAGAAAGAAAGGCACCAGCCTCCAATAACACGGGCAGTAAGGAGCAGAGTCAAAGTAACTTTTACTTTTCATTGGGCATCATAGGACAAAAGGTGAAGAGAAGGCAGAATCTAGGTTCATTCTGTTCTAGGTTCTTCAACCCAAAATTTCATTGTTGAGAGGCATTTTTGTATAATGGAAAGTCCACTGGACATGAAGTCAGAAGGACTGAATTTGAACCCTGGCTTTGCCACTTACTAGCGAAGTGAGTAGGTCAGGCGTTTCACCTCCCTAGTTTCTGCATGTGTAAAACGGTGATAGCAGCTGCCTACTTTGCAACGGTGTTGGGAAGAAAGGGTTTTGAAAAGGGCATTCAAAAGAAGACCTGTTATTATTACATGATCACAGGATTGAGAGCTAAAAGAGGCCTTAGAATGCGTCTCATTCAGCCTCCTCCTTTTATAGATATAACTAGCCTGTGTTCTAGCTCGCTATACAAAATCTTAGATTTTTGCTCAGTTTGTGGGGAATTTTCAATAACAATCATCTGCCTCTTTTATTTGGTCCTCACCCCCTCAGAAAACTGGGTATGGATCAATGAAAAGAACCTCACCTCAGAGGATCTGCCTCTGCTGCTCAACCCCTGTGTGAACCTGGATAAATCATTTTACTCCCTAAAACTCAGAGTCTTCATCTGTAGAAGAAATGGGGTGGACTAGATGCCCTCTGAAGTGCCTTTCAGACCTAGACCTATGATCCTATGGAATTCAACTCAGGTCTGGTCTCCCCATACTAACAGAGCCAGGCAAAGAGCATCATAAAAACTGAAAAGCATTTAACTGGGACAGGAATGAACAGTAAAACAAGAGAAAACAATCTCAGCATAGATTTACTGAATGAGGACAATTGCATATCCCCACCACCCCACGGTAGTCTGAAATGATGAGCTCCTCCAAGACACACAGTTCCAAGACGGGAGGCATGGGGAAGGTTTCTCTCTGCAAGCAGAATGAATGATCGGTGTCTCCAGTGCAGGCAGGGTTAGACTCTGCTGGGCAACAATCTCCTTGCAGCGTCTGCTGCTGGCAATCTGGGTGCTCACTGAGTGGATCCCATTCTCCATGAGTTCCCGGGGTGTCTCCCCAACTCATGTGGCCCCATCCCCACCGAAATCTCCATTGTTCCCCTGTGTTCTGGCTGTCCTTCCTCAATCCACTGACACAACTAACCTGTGCTATGGCTGCGCATACCTCATGCTAATTAAAATTCTGCTTCTTCCAGTAAGCATTCATTCTCTGAGCTCAGGTATCCTAGGACGTGTAGTCTCAGTGAATCGAATCGTAGATATCAGAGCCAGAAGCCATCTAGTTCAGCCTTGCCCCCTCCTTATTTTGTGCAGAAGAAACTTGAGGCCTAAAGAGGCTTCCCCATGGTGAGTTGTATTATAAACTCCAAATCCAGCATTCTTTTTCAGCAGCACACTACCCCTTAGGGGAAGTGACTTACCCAATCACCAAGATTTGAACCAGAGGTGTACTGGTAAATGTTTAACAATCAGCTGGGTGGGGGCAGGAGGCAGTACATATGCAGGACAGACTTTTAAATTTAATCTGTATTAACATTTTCTCCATCGCTTGCCTAAGAGTAGAAATCAACAAAACATATATATAGATATGTGCATTATGTATGTATGTATGCATGTGTGTATATGTAAAATGTATATATGTATGCCTATACATGCACATATATGTATGTATACTTGTATGCATGTGTGTATTCATATAGGTGTGTGTTTATAGCCTGTATGTATACAGATAAACATTTGTGTGTACACCCATACATATACACATATATGTGTGTGTGCATATACACATATGTGTGTGCATATACACATATGTGTGTGCATATACACATATGTGTGTGCATATACACATATATGTGCGTGTGCATATACACATATATGTGTGTGTGCATATACATATGGGTAGCTAGATGGTACAGTAGATATAGTTACCAGGCCTGGAGTCAGGAAGACTTATATTCATGAATTCAAATCTGGCCTCAGACACTTACTAGCTGTGTGACCCTGAGCAAGTCATTTCACCCTGTTTTCCCTCAGTTTCTGCATATGTAAAATGAGCTGGAGAAGAGAATGGCAAACCACTTCAGTATCTCTACCAAGAAAACCCAAAATGGGGTCACAAAGAGTCAGACACAATTGAAAAATGACTCAGCAAATATATACATGTATTTCAAGTCTTTTAGACACCATCATAGGGAACTATGCTTATCTGAAGAGGTTAATGGGATAGCTCTAAATTTTTGCCTTTTATAATGCTGCTCTTCAGAGGACCCCGCCGGTGCCCCCAGAAATACCAGCTGCCATCAGGGCAGGGCTGCCATCCATGCACACAAAGTAGGGCTACTTCCACCATGTGGTGTTAGGGGCACCCAGGATTCCCCTTCCTCACCCACCAGCTGGTCACAATACCCGAAATATCACCACTAGAAGATATCCCTTTGGGTTCAACATTGCCTTCACCCTGAGAATCTCTTTTATGGAAGCCATTTCCCTGGGAGGAGGATATATTAAATCTGCTCACATCAAAGGTGAAGGTTCTCTCCTCCAATGGCTTCCCTTCTGACATGAGAGCAGAGCAGCCAGCGAAGAGGAAGCACTTAGAGTCCTGTAAGAATCACGGAACTTGGAGTCTAAAGCCCTGGCTTCAAATCCTGAGCCTGCTACCTGAAATCAAGTCAGCTATCACTTTGATCCTCAATCTATTTATAAAATGTATTGAATGAATGAATGAGTGAGCGAAAAACGAAAGAAAAGGGCTTTATTAAGTGCTTATTTTGTGGAAAACATTGCCCAAAGTTATGGAAATAGAAACGGAAAGGACAGTCCTCCCCCTCTAGGGGCTCACGTTCTAAAGAAGACAACACATAGAAGAGGCTTTGGCTACAGGGCAGATGGAAAGCCTCCATGGTCCTTAAAGGTCAGCAGCAAAGCAGATGCTAATAATGCCTCTTCTATAATGGCATTTCCACTGATAAAATCATATTACTTTCTGATGTCCAACCACCGGGCAATGGCAAGGGCTTTGGAAGAGAGCACTTTCTCTTCTGGATCTTCAGTAGCTGCCAGGTCTCATCACCACTAAGACTGCTTCCCAGGATGATGTTTATGAAGGCTGGGCTGGATGCAGGAATGGTGGTTTTGATGGCTGGGGGTGGGATTAGAGGGGAGGGGGATGCTACCACTCAGGGGGCTCTTGGGATTGCCCACCAGTTGGTCAGCAGTTAGCATTGCTGTAAGGAAGATGGGTCCCTTTTTCAAGATTTTTCCACTCAGAGTCAATGTCAAGACAGTCAGTACCAGGGAGGGTTTTATATGGGATTGGATTTAGTTAAAAATCCAAAAGCATCAATAATTTTTAATATCACATGCTATTTAAGGTCCCTTACAGTGCTAAAGTCCATGGTCCTAGCAAGTGAGAAGAGAATGTGACAGGGAATCAATGGGAGGCAGGATAGTATAGTGGACAGGGCACTGACTGGAGTCAGAGGGCCTGGGTTTGATGTGGACTTGGTCCCCTTGAACCTCAGTTTCCTCCTCTGTAGAAAGAGGGGGTTGAACTAGAAGGTGTCTGGGGTCCCTTTAAGATCTAGACCTATGAGGTGGAAAGCTCTGTCTCTAGTCCTGCCTCTGTGGGTCAGTTGTCTCAATTCCTCCCCCAACCATGGCTTCATCCCTGTCATCAGGGCCCCAGATCAGGGGATCTCCAAAGCCCCTCCCAGCTTTGAGGTTCTATAAGGATGAATCTGTGTGTGTGGATTTCTCTTCACACTTACCAATCACATACAATGTGCAGCTGCCAGGTGGCACAGCAGGGAGAGCTCTGGACTTGGAGTCAGGAAGACTTGGTCCCAGTCCTGCCTCAGAAACTTACTGTGCAGCCCTAGGCAAGTCTCAACCTAGCTCCACCTGAGTTTCCTCACCTGTAAAATGTGGATCATAAAATGCCTATTTCATAGAGTTGTTTTGAAGATCAAACAAGTTAATGCACATAAAGCACTTTGCAAACATTTAAATGCTATTTAAATGCTAACTATACTATGAAATCAAAGTTGGAGAC